TTCATTTAAATCTACTGCAATCACCATGTAGAAGTTGATGCTGATTTATTATCTTGATCTACTGATATCTCACACCAAAAATATCTTACACAAATAGGTAGACAGAGAGGAGTGAATGAGCGAGTGTGACCTTTGAACTTCCTCCCTAGTGCAAAGGTCATGCATACATGTTTCCAAGCCAACCACACTTTATATTTGTAAGTCCCACAAGGCCACACACTCAGCCCGAAAGAGGAGAACATGAGTAGAGTTGGGTCATCACAAAGAAATATAGATGTTAAAAGTATATTAAACCTGCAATCTATTTAGTAGAATTTTTCACAGTACACAGTTCCCACAGCATTTTGACCTCAACAGAATTACTTACAATACAAAATCCCAATTCAAGGCACTTGGACTTAGGCAAAAAGGAGTTAATACATTCCAATTGTCTTTTTCACTAAAATGTGATCAAGTGGACTGGAATTTACATAATACACCTATATACATAAACATGAACGACATAATTTGAGAACATTAAATTCCATAAAAAAGCAAAGGGAAAAAATGAAGAATAAAAAGCATAACAACATATCATATATCACTTAAATTATAAATAATATTCATACCTTAGTGACTAAGTAATAGATAAATCTTTGACCATGTTTCAGGACGGCAACTTCTCCAGGTTTGCGGCACTGATCACTCAATTCCTGAACACGTCCGAACTTTGCCTGGAAAGAAAGTATTAACTTAGTTATCAACATAAATCAATCAACTGATTAATATAAGTGAATTTGTATTTCAATGTACATACATTATTACATTCGTAAATCATTCGTTCAAAACCCATAGGCCCATGGTTCCTAATTTTTATTTCACTCACAACCCCTTATAGATCTACAACTAATGCTCTAGATTTCAAGGAATATGAACAGCCTCCTCCAGTATGTATAAGCACTCTAGACATTGTCAAGGATTAAAGAATGGTACAGTTATGAGCTGTATTCCCCACCCCCCCTTTTAACTGGAACTTGATTGTTTAACCCAATGCCGCCGGGGAAAATTAACAAAAAACGGGGAAAATGCTGTGCCCACTTTCTATGTTTTTCGTGAAATGTCTGCCGATAGATGGCTCTGCTAGTGCCTGATTTGAAATGGCGGGAAAAACATATTCTTCACTAGTGCTATGGAAATCGATGGTGTTATTTTTATCATAAACATTATAATTTTTATAATGCTTTTTAACATTAGTAACAGCAAAATAAGATAACGTAAAATATTTCGTAAATCAAAGAAACGGGTAAACGGGCGAGACGGGCAGTACTCGTAACTGGCTCATTGGAGAGTTAGTACAAGTGTTGCCATCTATGCGTAAAAACAATCAAACAAGTACTCACGGTGGGCATAGCACGTACGTACACGTCATACCCGGCACCATTGGGTTAAACATGAGCTGATTTGATTAAGTCAATGAGAACTAAAAATGAGTCTTTATCATCTGTAAACTCACTTGTTATCTCCATATTTTGTTGTTTTATTATTTTATTAACCCAAGGCCTGTAGGTGTTTCCCACACCATACTAGGCCATGCTCTAAAGACAATTTAGATACATGGGAAATGTATCTTTTCACCTATGATTTTTCTAGGACACAAAAAAAACCTTATTTCAAGCCTACTTTTGAGGGGCTATGACTCCTTAATGACCTAAATTACAGCCAATCAAGTGAAAACCTGTTTGGTCCATACAGCACAGTGCAGGGTTGTCTGTGTGTTGAATGAAAGTAAATGCCACCCATCAGCAAAGGGCTAACATACTGATAAAATACCATTAAAACTTGATTCATAATTTTTTAAATAACTGAATAAAGGGTATTACTAACATTAGGATTATCATACTGTTATCATCAATACTACTAGTAATAAGAATTTTTTAAAAAAATAACAGCAAAATGAAAGGAAAAGGGTAAAGTGGTCTAGTAGGCTTAACTAGTAATTGGCAACTGGCTCTTGTAGAGCCATATATCTGCAAGCAAAATTAATAAACTAAAATCACAGTGGGCATGCCATGTATATAAATGTCATCCTAGAAACTATCAATGGTTAAAGATTATCATTCTCCAAAATTACTAAATATCCTAAATCTTACATTTTTAATTATTTTCATGCAATATGTAAACATGCTACATATTTCCATCCTAAACCATACTTGTTTAAAAAATCATAACTCTACTGCCTAATACATGGACCTAGTATGAAACTTCACCAAAAATGCTTTTGATTTCATTAAAAGGGAATCACATAAAGGAAGCTACCATGTAGATATAGTTGTAGATTTACAGTACAATTTATTAGTTCAGAACATTAAACAATTGAATATCTATTAGGAGCCAACAAACAAGACCAATACCCATCTTATTTTTTAAATCACAGACTTTACACATGGTGTTTACAGACCACACTTAATAAATAAAAGGATATATGGTATGTGACTACTGCAATGAAAATATCAATAACTAAAAACCTGAACACAACTGAAAACAACTGAATAATAGATGATAATGCATACAATCCATGCTCATAATCTAATACTTATAATTCTTTACTATATGCAATAAAGGAAGGAAAGAAAGAAAGTAAGAAAGAAAGAAAGAAAGAAAGAAAGAAAGAAAGAAAGAAAGAAAGAAAGAAAGAAAGAAAGAAAGAAAGAAAGAAAGAAAGAGAAAGAAAGAAAGAAAGAAAGAAAGAAAGAAAGAAAGAAAAAAAAAGCCAATGTACTTGCCTTGAAAAGCGTTGCAATGCCCTTCCCCATCCGAATATCCTGGGAGATACAATGGGCTAGCGAGGCTGTATCTGGACACGTAAACAAGTCTCCTCGTACTTCTGTGATGGCAAACCCTTCGCTCCGCACGTGGTTGCCTTTCGATTTTTTAATGTCACCGTTCACATCCTATGAGAGGAGGGAAACTTTCCATTAGATAGGTTAGTATTTCTCAGCTTAAAAACTTAAAAATCTCTAGGATATGAAGTTTCTATACCTATTAACAAAAATACAAACAAATAATATGAGAAACTGTGTGTGTGTGTGTGTGTGTGTGTGTGTGTGTGTGTGTGTGTGTGTGTGTGTGTGTGTGTGTGTGTGTGTGTGTGTGTGTGTGTGGGTGGGTGTGGGTGTGTGGGTGTGGGTGTGGGTGTGGGTGTGGGTGTGTGGGTGTGTGGGTGTGTGTGTGTGTGTGTGTGTGTGTGTGTGTGTGTGTGTGTGTGTGTGTGTGTGTGTGTGTGTGTGTGTGGTGTGGTGTGTGTGTGGTGTGGGTGTGGGTGGGTGGGTGGGTATGACTGTGGGTGGGTGGGTATGACTGTGGGTGGGTGGGTATGACTGTGGGTGGTGGGTATGACTGTGGGTGTGGTATGACTGTGGTTGGGTGTGGGTATGACTGTGGGTATGGGTGTGGGTATGACTGTGGGTATGGGTGTGGGTATGACTGTGGGTGTGGGTGTGGGTATGACTGTGGGTGTGGGTGTGGGTATGACTGTGGGTGTGGGTGTGGGTATGACTGTGGATGTGGGTATGACTGTGGGTGTGGGTGTGTGGGGGGGTTCACTGATGCCAAACTCGAAAATACCTCTCCTTCAAACCTTGAAAATGAAGCATTGCACACAGTCCTACCTTCGGTGTCTTTCCGATAAACCGTGGACTTTTGTTGGACGAGGAAGGACTTTGGCAGTCTGGCGACAAGCTTGAATTACTTGCCATGCTTTTCTTTCGATATTACTAGTTGCTAATCTTTATATCAGAAACGCCACGTGTCAAGCAGTTCTTAATCTAGGCACCGATTTCTCAACGGCAAGGAATTCGAAAAGGAGTTTCCTTCTCCAGTAAAATAATGACCGTATAGAGAGTCCAAAGCACACTTGATTGAATTCCGAAAACTCGCTATTATCAAATCTTATTGGAATGTTTAACTGGATGAAGCAACATTTAGCAGGACTCTTAATACTGCAAAATCACTTTCTAGTAAAATGAATTTCTTTAGCACCAACATATACTTCTACAATTAGAATAACAGTCGCTGTCATCTGAAACCAATGATCGGAAGAGATGTGGATGATTTAATGACGATTCAACCACGATAAAGTTCTGCCGGCAACTGCGAGAGTCTATGAACTGCAGGCAGGGACTTGGTGAGGAACAGGTATGGAACGCGTATTAGTTCGGTCACACACCATTTTGTTTGTTTGTTTGTATGCAATACCGTTGTTTCATTCTATTATTTTTCCTCTCTTTATCTCTTTTTCTCTTTCTATTTCTCTTTCTCTTTCTCTTTCTCTTTCTCTCTCTCTCTCCCTGTCTGTCTGTCTCTCCCTGTCTGTCTGTCTCTCCCTTTCCCTCTCCCTCTCCCTCTCCCTCTCTTATTCTCTCTGTAAAGGTTTATGCAATGTACAATATAATAATCTTCAAATGATACTTCACGCCTAATTTTCATTGGATTGCACTGCATTTTATTTGTTCAGCCCTTCGCAGGCTTGAGAAAAGAACATCGCGCGACGCTGGCGGGATATACGAATTATTTGCCAAATTGCGTAGTAGAAGTTATAAATAATCAGCAGACAAAATTAAAACATATATCTATGAAATTAGCTCAGAAAAAGATCTAGTGCCTGTCCACATTAACACCTACATATGAGATGAGGGAAAAAAAAGCATATCATTTCTCAATAAAGTTTTAAACTACGACTAACCACAGCGATAAAATACAAAAGGATATTACCACTAGAGGTATGGCAATCGCTTCTATATCTGATTACATTAGGTTACCATGACTGACTTGCTGAAAAAAAATTGTAGTAAACCGTAACTTCCCATAAACATTTTCTAACACGACGGTATACAACAGGAAATTGATAAGTTAAGCCTCATCTCACATTAGAAATTCCGAGAAACAACACCATGGCAACCTCTGGCATTATTCGCCGGCCACGTGTTCTGCATCAGACCACTCGACCACGGCAACATATGGCATCCGATAACGTAGGTGCACCACGCGGCAAAATCGATCGATCATCGAGAACGTAGGAAATGTCGCATAATGAAGACGGCAACACAGCGACAAGTAGCCTGTTGCCACGAGCTGCCGTCTACCCAGTCCCCAGCAGTGCCATTTAGAAATTTGTGAGAAAAGCAACTAAACTATTTGGCCGCCGCAAGAAATTATATATAACGATAATGACATTAATGATAAAAGTTAAAATGTTATTAATAATAATAATACTGTCATATATATGTACATATATATATATATATATATATATATATATATATATATATATATATATATATATATATATATATATATATATATATATATTTTTTTTTTTTTTTTTTTTTTTTTTTTATATATATATTTATATATATATATATATATTTATATAATATATATATATATATATATATATATATATATATATATATATATATATATATATATATATATATATATATATATATATTTATATATATATATAAATATATTCATATATAATATATATATATATATATATATATATATATATATATATATATATATATATATATATATATACAATATAACATATATATATATATATATATATATATATATATTATACATACATATACATATATACACATTCATACATAATCATTGTACACTTATGTACATACATATACACATATACATATATATACATATAAACAAATATATATGCACATATATACACATATTTATAGACATATATATAATACATATACATATCCATATATACATTATATATATACATTTTTACATACAATATATACATATATGTGTGTATAACATCCATATACATATATGTATAACATACATATACATATAAACAAATATATATATACATATATACACATATTTATAGACATATATATAATACATATACATATCCATATATACATTATATATATACATTTTTACATACAATATATACATATATGTGTGTATAACATCCATATACATATATGTATAACATACATATACATATATGTATAACATATATACATATATGTATGTTATACATATACATATATGTATAACATACATACATATATGTTTAACATACATATACATATATGTATAACATACATATATGTATATGTATGTTATACATATATCCATACACATATACATACACACACACATTCATATACATACATACATATATATATATATATATATATATATATATATATATATATATATATATATATATATATATATATATATATATATATATATATATACATACATACATACATACATACATACATGTATATTATGCAAACATATATATATATATATATATATATATATATATATATATATATATATATATATATATATATATATATGTATATATATATATATATGTATATATATATATATATATATATATATATATATATATATATATATATGTATATATATATATATATATATATATATATATATATATATATATATATAAATAGATATACATATATATTCATACACATATGTATACACATACATACATACATATGCACACATACACATACATATCTATACATATAAATTATACATACATACATATATATTATATACATCCATATATATATTATATATACATATATATATACACAAATATATATGAGTATATATACATATATATATATATATATATATATATATATATATATATATATATATATATATATATATATATAAACATATATATGCATATACATATACATAAATATATATAAATATATAATCTATTCATAACCTACTGAAGTATGTTTTCTTAATAAAATATTATTATGACATATTCAAATATTTTGTGTAAAGCAAGACTTGCTGAATGTCCTCCTCTTCATTTGCATTTGAAATTAGAGTGAATAATATTTTTTTTAGGGCATGCTTATTTTTCTGCTTCACATGGGCATTTCATAAAAGCTGACAATTAAGGACAACCAGTGGTGGCAACTATGAACTACAAAATATCTTCCTATGTTGCTTAAAAGGCACATGCTTTAATAAATATATATTGTAATACAATTTATTTAAATTGTCTTACATTCCATTCCATCTTAACCATTCCCTTCAGCCATCTCAAAACAGAGAAGTAACGTTTGCTAGTTGTATGCATATGCCAATTGAGTACCCATGAGCTGCAATAATTTATATTTCAAAGAATCCATCATCGTCATTACATCTTCAATACTGTAATTCTGATATCTCTGTAAGTATGTATTGAGCTATTTTCTATATCTTTAAAATAGGCCTGTTTTATTAATCTATTTACTAATTGTGGTGTAACGTGATTTCACACACAGCCCTCTATCGTTAAATTTCCTGAAAGAAATCAGATTGGTAAAAAAATAAATATTTCACGATACAGCACAGCCTACTAAAGTTGGTTTTCTTCAGAAAGCATCATTATGATATAATATATGATTATTTAAAACAAGGAGACTTTCAATAGATTTTCTTTTTAATTTATATTTGTATTTGTGGATAACCTTTTCGTTTGCCATATTTTTTTCCTTATTAATGTGGAATATTTGGCACCCATACAGATGTAACTCCCACAATTGTGTATGGCAAACATATGGAATCACAACAGTGTCTAACCTAAGTGATATGAAGTCTAATTATGAAGTACACATTTTTTTTTACACATACAGCATTATAGATTATTTCATTGGATCAAGGCGATGCAGAAGTCTCATCATAAAAGAAATTGGCTAAGTGGCAGGTGATGGGAATTTGCCATCATGAAATAGTATTGGCAATAGTGACAGATATTTTTGCTTGAGTGCATAAAGTTCTTGAAGGCAGATTAGACTCAGCGGAAATTTAAGAAGGGGCTCTAATGTTATTGCCACCAGCAAAGGGAAGTGGAATGTACTGGCTGTGAGCCATGCCTAGAAGAGTGTTAGCTCCACTGAGGACAATATTTCCATGGGCAGTAATTTATTCCTGCCTGCCTTGACCAACAGCACTGGATGTGTTATGGGAAACTGAATAATAAGAAAATATAAAAAATAACACAAGTAACAACTACTGTTATTGTTATTGCACAGTTGTAGACTATCTGGAGAGATAATATGGAGTCTCCCTATTGAAAACAGTCTATTACCATCTTCATATAACATAAATAATGACATAGACCTTGGAAACTGGTAAAACAGTGTATGCAGAATAAGTGCTAATAGCATCGCAAGGGAGGCCAGGTGTGTTCGTGTGGGTCAGGTCTACAAGATATGTACCCAGAGGAGTCAACACTCAAATAAGCTTAATGCCCATCTTTTAGTGAGGTGAGGTGAGAGGCACCCACATCCAATGGGTTAAACTTTTATATATCAAATTCACATGACAGCTGCATAAGCTCATAGCAGAAGTTCTTTGACCATAAACATGGCCTTTAAAGGCATACTGATAAAAGTTTTGGTACATACCAAATAATCAAAAAGAATTCGAGTTAGAAAAGTAACCACAAAAATGCTCTAATTTCAAGGGTAGAGGCACCTGTTTTTACATCCAATTTCTTCAAGTTAGCTATTTAAAGTCTACAAAAACATGAAACCAGAACATGTACAATGCAAAGCAAGAGGCCACATCAGCTAAAAGGAGTCAGGTCAGATGATCTCTTATTTCTTAACTTCTTTTTCTTTTACCTCACATTAAGTATTTGTTACATGGTTCCTTTTCTCTAATAATCATAGTCCAATACACACAAGCCTCAAAATCAAACACGAGTCAGGCAGAATATATGTTAACGTCTACTGTCCTGCTTGAGAACAGACAAAACCTGTTGTGTACCATGGGATACACTGAACATAAAGCTAATTTTATATGTATTTACCTTCCCTCTTTACTTCCAACTTAATGATTCATTCATTATTTACAATGCTAACTTCAACTCAGTATTAATGGTAATGCAGGAAAGTATTTAAAAATCTGTATAACATAATAGTAAAATGAATATTAAGAAAACAGACCAAATTTACTTTAGCAAATCACAGCCAGCTCTTCATAGGCTGAATTCTTAACTTTACTGATTTCTTCTCCACCTGTAAGTGTATTACTACCTTGCACGCTCAATTATTTTTATTCCTACATACACATGAAACACATCACAACAAAAATGGGTAGCAGGATCTAAATCCCACAATCCAAAAATAAATTAATCTCAAATTGGAAACTGGGACATTGGATCTATAATAGATATTGTTTTATCTGATTTAAGGACTGAAGTTGTACTGCAATATCTTTAATACTCACAAACTGTTCTGTAATTTCTTCTGCCATTTTTCTCTTTGGTGT